GACGGTGAGCGCTGGTCCTGGTATCCAGCCCCCCGCCACCACCTGTCCCCTGCCCCCCTAACCCATCCTGCCCCCTCTGCAGACTGTCGAGTACGTGGCCTTCACCACCATCCCGGGGCTGACGGGGGTCATCATCACGCTGGCGCTCATCCTCATGGTCACGTCCTCCACCGAGTTCATCCGCAGGAACTACTTTGAGGTCTTCTGGTACACGCACCACCTCTTCCTCATCTACTTCGCCGGCCTTCTCATCCACGGCATCGCGTAAGGCTCCTCACCGCTCCCTGAGGGCAGGGCAGGGAGGGGCAGGGGCCGCGGAGCCCTGGTGGGGCAGCCCTGCCTGCCCCGGGGAGCAGTGCAGCAGCCTGGCCAGCCTCGGGCAGTGCAGCTCAGCCCTGGCCAGGGGGCAGGAGTCGGGCCCTGGGCTCACCCCTCGCCTCCCCACAGCGGGCTGGTGCGCGGGCAGACGGAGGAGAGCATGGAGGAGGTGCACCCCCATCACTGCGCCCACTGTCTCACCCAAAAGGACGAGGACTGCAGCCGCAAATGCAGCAAGGACCCCGAGTTCGGGAGCATCCCCGCCGAGGTAGGGCAGCGGCAGGACGGCTGCGGGGGGAGAAGCCCTTCCCTTGCCCCTGGGATGCTCCAGCCCTGGCCCTCCCCAACGCTTTCCTCTCCTCCCTCCCTGCAGTCCTGGAAGTGGGTTCTGGCCCCCGTCCTCCTCTACATCTTCGAGCGGATCCTCCGGATCTGGCGTGCGCGGCAGAAGGTGGTTGTCACCAAGGTGGGTGGTGCAGGAGCCTGTGCCTGCTGCTGGCTCCTTCCCTTGCAGCCACCGGTGCCCCAGCTCCTTGCTGGGGTGGCTGTGGGGTGGGGGGCAGGGGCCGCTGCCAAAGCCCCTTGCCCAGGGACAGGAGCCAGGCTGGGGGCTGAGCCCCGTCCCTGTCCCGCAGGTGGTCATGCACCCTGCCCGCGTGCTGGAGCTGCAGATGCAGAAGAAGGGTTTCCGCATGGAGGTGGGGCAGTACATCTTCGTCAACTGCCCCGCCATCTCCCTGCTGGAGTGGCACCCCTTCACCCTCACCTCGGCACCCGAGGAGGACTTCTTCTCCATCCACATCCGGGCAGCCGGCGACTGGACAGAGCGTCTCATCGACACCTTTCAGCAGCAGAACCTGGAGATGCCCAGGTAGGCTTGGGGAGCACCCAAACGGATCATCCTGGGGATGTGGAAAGGCCATACCTCTTACCCAGGCCCTCCCTCGGCCAGGATCGAGGTGGATGGCCCCTTCGGCACGGCCAGTGAAGATGTGTTCCAGTACGAGGTGGCCATGCTGGTGGGAGCGGGCATCGGCGTCACCCCCTTCGCCTCCATCCTGAAATCCATCTGGTACAAGTTCCAGCAGGCTGACCAGACCCTCAAGACCAAGAAGGTATGGGGTGTCCCATGGGACCAGCTGTGGGTTTCTCCCTGCTAGGCTTCCCAGTCCTTGACATTGCAACCTTCCACCTCTCCTGCTCTGCTCCACCTTGAGCAACCCCTCTCCCCCTGCATCCCAGATCTACTTCTACTGGCTCTGCCGGGACACGGGAGCCTTTGCCTGGTTCAATGACCTGCTTGCCTCGCTGGAGCAGAAGATGGCTGAGTCGGGCAAGGCGGACTTTCTCACCTACCGTCTCTTCCTCACGGGCTGGGACACCAACATTGTGAGTTGACCACGAGCAGGCGTGACCGCAAAGGGGGACATGGGGTGGCCAAGTTGGGTGGGAGAGGCAGGGCAAGCGCATCAGTCCCTGCGGGCAGGAAGTCTGGGAGCGGTGTTTGGTGGGCATCAGCAATAGATGCTCCTCCGTGGTAAGGGACTGGAGGTGGGCTCACGGGTGGCGGCTGTGGTCCTCATCGTCCCGGCTCTGCCTAGGCTAACAACGTGGCACTCCGCTTCGACACCGCTACAGACACAGTGACGGGCCTCAGGCACAAAACCATCTTCGGGCGGCCCATGTGGAACAGTGAGTTTGCGGCGGTGGCTGCAGCCCACCCCAGGTGAGAAATGGGCAGGGGGCTCAGGGTGCTGGAGCTGGGACACCCCCCCTCCTCCCTGGCAGCCAGCACCAAGCTGGGCATCGCTGGCTTTGGGAGGGGCATGCTCAGCCCCCAGAGGTTGTAGGGACCCCAAAAAGCTCTTAAGTGACTTTTCCCTGAGCTGCCCGCCCAGTGTTGACGTCCCTGTGCTGTGTGCAGGTCGGTGGTCGGCGTGTTCCTCTGCGGGCCGGGGGCCTTGGCAAAGAGCCTGCAGAAGTCTTGCCACCAGCACTCCAGCCTGGACCCCAGGAAGGTCAAATTCTACTTCAACAAGGAGAACTTCTAAGTGGCAGCCAGGCTGGGACCCCAGCGGACAGGGGACCCTGCTGGCCTTGCCTCAACCCCAGAGCGAGTCGGCGTGGCCAGGGGTAAGCACTGGCTGAAGAGGGCGTGCACAGGATCCAGACAAGGCACGGCAAGGTGGTGCGCCTTCTCCATGAGATGATCTAGGTTCAAAGACTGCCGCCTTCTCAACCTGGTCTACAAAGGGGTGCCCATGAGGGGAGGGGGCCTGCAGCCCCGCACGGCCCCTCGATGAGAAACCAGAGGCACGTGCTGCCATGATGCCGCTGGAGCGGCGGGAAGCAGCGGGAGCACCCAGCGGGCTGGGCAGAACCACGGGACGGGGACAGGAGAGGGGCATGCCGAGCAGGCGCCGGGGGCCTCACGTACCCCTCTGGGTTTAAACAGGCCTTTGCGTAAAAGGGTAAATTAAACGTGCTTTCCTTTGCAACAAAGGCCTCCGTGGTGACCCGGTCCGTGCAGGTGCGAAGGGTGCCCGCTCTTTGCCCCCTCGCCGGGCTGCAGTGAGGAAGCTGGCCCACAGCAAACACCCTGGGCGGGGGGGTAAGGTTCTCTGCCACCACCGGAGCCAGCCTGCACTGCCCGCCGGGCACTCACCAGCGCCCAGGCCGACTTCGACTGCAGCCCATGCAAAGGCAACAAATTCTGCTCAAGCATATGCAGAGAAGAGGGGAAAACCGCCCTCCCCGAGCAGGCCGGCGCTGTAAGTGATACAGCAATGGGATACGGAGCCCTTCCCGCCCAGTCAGCGGGGACAGAAAGCCAAGCTCCCCGTCCTGCCCCTCCCTTACACCCTGGTGAACAGCACAGCACGTAAAATCCCACCAGTAGGTCTTGGCCCTGCTGGTGGGGAGAAGGGAGAAAGGTGAGTGGTTTGGACTGGCCTGGAGCCAGGCCAGGCTGTTCCCAGAACCCACCAGTCCCACTCCGGCCTCCATGAGGGACCAAACAAGGCAGCCGGCGACGTGGTTTTACTCAAACCCTCCTCCCACTTTATTTCAAACATCATAAAATATACACACAGAAAAAAGGATGAATGGGAGAGGAAAACGTTAGGGGTGGGGAGGAGAAACCTCTCCCAAAATGCAGGATCAGCTCAGACAGCAGCGGGAAGCAGCTGCCATGGAGCATCGCCTCTGTGCAGGCGGACGGCATCTCCACCACACGCCTGCCAGGCCTGCGAGAAGGAAGGGGGGAGAGTGAGCCCCTGCACGGAGGGGAAAAGCAGGGTAGAGCCCCACCCTGAGCAGCTCCTATTTACTGAAGGGGAGCAGGCACAGGCCGGAGCAGGGTTAAGGACATCATCTGTCAGGGTGCTCCCGTGGACTTCTGGATTTGCTCCTTCAGAATAAGGATGCTCTGCCGCTGCTCCGGGGGCAGCATGGCGATCTGGTCCGCTGTCAGCTGCAGAACCTGCATGATCAGGGCTGCCTGCAGGGAGAGGAAGGAATCAGAGACATGCCCTGCCAGAGCAGCCACTGGAGCCAGGAAGGAGCTGTCTCCACCACAGTAAGGTACGGAGGGAGTGCTGCTCCTGGCATCTCACCCTCTCCCTTTTGTCCTCTCACCTTCTCGTGATCCTGGGGGGTGACCTGGCTCTGTCCAGGGCTAAAGCCTCCAGGCTGACCAGCTCCTTGGACCCCTGTGCCTCCCCCCGCCAGCCCTGCCCCTGCCATGTTAGGAACCTGTGGGCAGGAGAGAGGGGGTAAGGACAAGGGGTCTCTGAACTCAGCCATACAAACACAGGAACAGAAAGCAGATGATCAGATGGGTGGCCCCAGAGCCAGCCTGAAGATGACTGAGCATGAAGAGACAGGCTAACCATGCGTTTTACGTGCTTCTCCTCTCCCTCCAACTCCTGCACATCAGGAAGAGGTGGAGAGAGGCTGGAGCCTTGTCTCATCCCCAGCAGATGGGCAGTGCCTGGGGAGACGGGACAGATGCCCCAAACCCCTCAGAGAGCCACTGACCCAGGCCTTGTGCTTCCTGGAGGCGCCACTCTGCGGGACACCCTCCCCTCTCAAACTGCAGCAGGATGCAATCACACCCCCCACCCAGACCTCATCTACAAGACACCAACCAGCCCAGCAGAGACATTGCACGCACCTGGCGGGGCCCCTGCGGGCCACTGGCTCCCATGTTAAGTGGCCCAGGACCCTGTATCCCACCAGGCATGGGGCCACGTGGGTTGGGACCAGGCCCTCGAGGCTCCAGGCCCCGGGGTTCCATGACCCTGGCTTCCATGGCCCTGGCTTCCAGCCCTTGCCGCGGCTCCAGGCCTCGCGCCTCCAGGGCTCGCGCCTCCATCACCCGGGGCTCCAGCCCTCGTGGCTCCAATCCTCGTGGCTCCAGCCCGCGGGGATCTCTTCCAACTGCAGGGGAAAGACAAGGCAAGCTGTTGAGGGGAGCTGTGCTGCAGGGAGCGTGGGAGCGAGCCCGCTGCCTCCTTTGCCTGGGGGCCTGCAAACGCCTGGAAGGTGCAGAGCTGGGGGCAGAGGGGACACGCCTGGAGGAAGTCCCTTGCCCCATGGGACTGTCCCTCCTTGCCCTGGGGTCAGCTGTTTCACTGCCCAAACCCCCTTCCTATGCCTCATGTCGGGGCAGCGGGCTCCACTCTGACTTCTTGTCCGTACGCTTTACACCACCCGCTATTTCATGCCCCCTCTCTCACCTCGAGCATCCATCAAGGGCCCCCGCGGCTCTCCCATCAGTGGTCGGGGTTCTCCCATGGGTCCCCCCCTCATCTCATGGGGGGGGCCACGGCTGTCATGACCAGGCATATGATGCATAGGGGCTCCCTGGTGGGGCGGCCCAAGGTAACCTCTGACGCAGAGAGACGAGGAGAGCAAAGCAGGAGGAGGAGAAAAAGCGAGAGAGTGTGAATCAGACGCTGGCTTGGCACGGTCTGGGCAGAGCGCTGGGATTTCCCCTGAAGCCGGCCGCAGGGGAGGAGGGTGAGGCTGGCACAGGGACGGGTGCTGTTGGCCCCATGCCACAGGGCTGCTGCCATCACCCCGGGGATGCCCCGTCCCCGGGGAAATGGGCCGGCCCCCGCAGTCGGCAGCACACAGGCCTCCGACCAGGCAGCAGTGACTCCCGGAAGGCTGGTGCCATCCCTGTCCTCAGTGAGAGGTCACCCTTGGGCAGGGGACAGTGCCAAGGGCTCCTCTCCTTCCCTCTCCCCTCACCTGGGCTCCACTTCTCCAGTGACTGAGAGCAGGGTCCCTCCGCGAGGGTCATTCGGGGCATCTCCCAAAAGGCCTCGGGGCGGCGGGCCACTAGCAGGTAGAGGTCCACGCTGCATAGGGGCCCTCGGGTCTGGCATGGGCACTGCCAGGGAGACACACAAGAGCTCGTGAGGATCTGCATGACCAGTGCCGTGCTGAGACTGTCCCTCAGCGCTCTCGGGGCTGGGGTGCGGGGCGGCCTCGCTGCTCCCCAGCGCGCAGGCACCTCAGGCTCCTTACGGCACCAGGTAGCCAAAGCAAGCGTGGATGCCCCCATGGTGATCCCTACGAGCACGGGCATCAACACCCTGCCGACGTGGGGCCAGGAGCAAAGCAAGACCTGGAAGGCTCCTGGCAGCGAGGTGTCAAAGGGGGCTGGATCCTAGGCAAGGGCCCTCTCCGGTCAGACTCTCCTTTTCCACTGGTGGCTCTCTGTGCACAGCGCTAGTCTGTTCTCTCCTGAGGCCCCGGAGGAAATCCTGCCTCCTCCTAACCCTGCCAGGCTACACAGAGTGATACACCAGTCCCCGGCCCTGAGCACAGCAAGGTGAGAGCTGCTCTCTGCACACTCCACAACGAGCTCCACGGGAGGAGGGAGCTGGCGGGCGCCGGGATACCTTGAACGCGTTCGATAGACGCAGGCCTGGCAGGTCCCACGGGCGAGAGCTGCAGGTTCCCTGGGCAAGCAGCAGGAAAAGAGGAAGAAGAGCAGACACGTAAATAGTGTATGCACACATGCACTCAGCCTCGGGGACAGCACTGCCTGCAGGATCACTTCCGCTCCCTGAAGTCCCCGAAAAACCTACAAAGATGCTACCTGCTGCAGGTCTGGCTTTATCAACCTCTTCCATTAACACCACCTCTGCCACCACAGGCATGACAGCCAGCTTGGCACGGCCCTTCCCTTGCTCACTGCGTGAACATGTGGGGCAGGGGGACGTCCTGCCGAGAGAATGGGCATTCTGTGGGGCCACGCTGCACACCACAACACACAGCCAGTCAGCTTCTGCTTCTGCCCCTGCCCACAGCTTCCCATGGCACCCCTCAGTGCCAGCTCTCTGTCTGCTCTCCAAAACCTTCTGGGTACCAGTAAAAGAGCCAAGAACTGCTGGGTTGCTCTCAGGAAGACGGTGCCCACCCCAAAGAAAATAAGAGTCAGCTTCTCCTAAGACACCTAAGGCCGGCAGATCTCAGAACAAGTCTGCCCTGTTCCTGAAACAAGGCCTACAATACGAATCAAAGCAACGGGGATGTCAGCTGTGTGCCTTATTACAGGGAGAACACAAACGCCTTGGTTGTGCTAACCCTGGCGCACGATTTGACGGGGCGGCCACGCAACATGTGAACCGTAAGGAATCCGGCTCCCGGGCTGGGCCGTACAGACCGTGCCTGCGGAGGGAGAGCCAAGCAATCACTCACCGGGAAATTCCCTGCCAAGCCTTGCACTCACTTGTCGCAAGCAAAAGCGAAGGCCCAGCTCCCTCTGCCGGGCACAGTGCAGGGAGCGCTGGGAGATGTGGGCAGATGCGGTGGCAGCACAAGCTGCTCCCCAGCACCCAGGCAGCAAAGGAGCAGGACAGGGACCAGAGAAGAGCAAGCTCTGCCCGCCTGCTCAAGCACAGGGACAGACATGGGCTCACAGAGATGGAAAACACAGGCATGTCCTGCTCGGTGAGGTTCTGCAGGGACCGGCAGCTCTCCTGGCTTCCAGGGCACATCTGCACAACATGGTGCAGTACAAGCTGGGAGCAAACTGGTGCGTGGGCTGGGGCCCTGGAAGCAGGAGAGCTGCTACCACAGCCTTGCGCCTAAGCGAACAAACCCGGGCGCAGCCCAGCGCTGCGGGAGCTGCCCCGGATCCAGGGCCGGCAAGGCTGCAGGGAGCTGGCAGGGGCTCCTGGCTCAGCACTGCTCAGCACCCATGGCCTGGGCCCCCACTGGAGCGAGGGTCACATAACACACAGCACTAACCCACGTCTGTTTTACCTTGTCCGCGCTCCAGGGGGACAGGCCCTCCGCCCGGCATCCCAACCTGCGGCTGCATCCCACCTGAGAGGGAACAGGCAGAGATCAGATCCCTCCTCAGCCACCCCTGCACCACTAACCGATTCCTTTAGCCCCAAACACCTCCCCACTCCCAGCTCCTGGGGGAGCATCCAAAGGCTTATTTTCTCAGTGTGGTTCCCCACTGAGATTAAGCCAACTTTCTGAACTGCTGCTGGCAGCAGCCACAGCACACAGTGTAGGACACGTGCTCTCACAGGGCCGAGCCCTCCAGTCAGGGGGAAGGTAGAGGGGGGGCTGTTTGCAGGACCCGTTTGCCCAGGGCCCCGTTCAGCCAAAACCCACGCACTCACCTCCTGGAGCCATGGGGCCAGGGCCCGGGCCCTGCACAGGGGCTGCCATCTGTCCTGGGGCCGGCACTCCTCCCTGCAGGGGCGGCTGCATCAGAGGAGGAGCGCCGTTTACGTGCATCCCACCCTGCCCAGGAGAGAAACCAGACCTCAGGGAAGCCCCGCCACCCAGGCACGCAAGCCCCAGCTGGGACAGCTGGAGCTGGCAATGCTCATCTCTCCTCCACAGGGCACCTGCATTGTGTAGGCTCTTACTATGGGCTGTGGCTGGGACGAGGGGGTATTCTGCGGGTTCAGCTGGGCGTTTGGCCCTGGCCCCGGCCCCGGTCCTGGTCCAGGCCCCGGCCCTGGCACTGGCTGCTGGTTGCCTGGGATCAGGGGAGGAACACTGGTCTGGCGATGCAGGATTTTCTAGGGGCAGAAGAAGGAGAAAGGAGTTCTCTTCCACCCCCTCTCCACAACAGGCTGCCACCAATATCCTACCAACCCCGGACAAGGCAGGAAGGGACAAACCAGTGCGATCTCCGGGTCAACAATCCTCATGACCACCTGGGCCTGCAGCAGTGCATAAGCCAGCTGGGGGTTCTGGAGCAGCATGTTCCTGGCTTCCTGGGGGCTGTTCTGGACACACAACTGAGAAGACACACATGGATCAGGGCTCTAGCAGGGTGCAACAGGGGCTGTGAGGGCACAGGCAGCAGTGGTAGAAGCTGTGCTCGCACAGAGTGTGCTTCGCTCACCTTCATCTGCTTCATCAGCTCAAACATCTGCTCGGGCGGCAGGCTGGCTACTGCCCGGCTGATGGACTCGGGGGCATCTTCAGGATTGACAGGGTCACCGTAGGGTGACTCTATGATGGGTGCGCCTGTGCCCAAGCCTGCAACAGAGTTTGTGACCTCGTATGGCAACGCGAGCCGTCCATTTTTAATGGACTCATCGGAAGGGAAGCACCACACCGTTATGGGGAAAGAGGGGCAGTGAAAACAGGGAGATCATCTGGGAGAGAAAACACAGAGATGAGCCCACACACCCCTCTGCAAAGCTACTCGCTACATCGCTTGGAGCAGGTCAGCTCCGCGAGGTCTCCACCTTGCCAGCCTCACAGAAGAGGCACGCTTTGTAGGGTGAAAAGGCCAGGCCTAGCGTGACATCAGCGTGCTCTCCACCACAAAATTCAGACTCACTCTTCAGCTCCTCCTTGTTCTTCTCGCTGGCCGCGTTGTCGACACGCAGGGCCCTCCCGCTGAACTCTCGCCCATTCAGGTTCCGCATGGCACTGAGGGCCGTCTCCTGGTCTTGGTACTCACAGAAGCCATAGCCCTTTGGCTTTCCTGTCTCCCTGTCATACACCAGCCTGCACAGCGAGGAGGAGAAACCCACCACCACTAAGGGCAGCGCAAGCACCCAGCAGCGCACAGCGCCCACAGCTCCCCAGCTCTCAGGAGGGGGCTATCGGGGTACACCACACAGGAGCGCTGGGGAGCAGAGTGAAGGCACCGAGGCCAGGTCAAGACGTGCAACAGTCGGCCCTAAGCCAGAGCCAAAAGGCCTCCTGAATCCAGGCCAATGGGTGTTCCCAGGGCTCTGGTATCCAGGAGGGCTGCGAGCGCTGTGCTTCCCACAATCCCACAAGGGCAGCTCCTGCGGGGGCAGGACTGGACTGGCTGCTCCTGGAGCTCCCAAGCTCTTAACTGAGACCTCTCTGAAGCTTAGTGCCAAGGAAAACACACACCCCTGCGGAGCCACTGGGCTTGGAGTGCTCTGTACTCCCGCCTCTCTACAGAGAGCCTGATCAGGACCTGGAGACTTATCCGCCCCGGCTCCACGCCGCAGCAGGGCTGCCAGGGGCTCACAAGCCCGC